TTACCACTCCGTTCCTGACGACAGATCGTCAAAATCAGAAACAATCATCAACTTACAGGTAAGTCTCGATTGTTTCTTTAATTATACCGCAGAGTTCAGATGTCGCAGCAGAGATGTCATTGATAAGACCTGTCAAAACACTTCAGTTATGAATCTTGGTTTCTTCTTTGTTGCTGTAAGAAACAGCAATGAGTCTGCAGATTGTTCAAACTCAAAGTAGAACAAAACTTGAATGGCTTAAGTAGACCTATTCAGGGTGAGAGTTGTAAGAACAGAAGGAGGGCAAAATGCAGTGACACTGAAAATCTGCCAATCTTGAATAGAGAAAGCTAAAATATAGTTACAATTTATCATCACCCATCCATTGAAAGGCAAACACTAGTTCAATAACAAGGCTTACAAGTATGACAGATCCTGATTCCACACACGGCCTGCACTAGCGCGCACTTTGCAGAGTTCAAATCAAAATCCTGACATTTGCTTTTTACGAGTGGTCATGGAAAATTTTCTTCTCTAAAATTGTCTCCTTTCACCCCCTTTCCTGCTCTCTTGCAATGCAATGTTCTGTCGTCCGCTTTCATCTCCACTTTCTGCCCCCATCCCCTCACTTCCTTTGCTCCCTCCTCTGGTTTTTATCTCTACTGCTACTCCTTGGCTTCTTACTGCTGTCTTTCAGCCACACTCCTGATCTTCTGGTAGGAAAGATCTACACCTAGCCTTCTCGGTAGGGCGAAAAATCTTGGAGGTCCAGTGTAGGAGTATATTCTAGGTTTTGGCCTTCACCTGGGAAAAATTAAAATTTTCCTACCAACTGAAAATGTTTAATGCGTCCTGCGCGCTCATCATATGACCATGCCTTATGCAGTTAAAAGTGCCATAACATAAAAAAACACTTAGATCTAGGCTAGATTTATCTTAGCCTAACTTAAAAAAAGGAAGTGGCTATTCTCACCCGGGGTGAGAATAAAAATACGATCTACCTCTCACCCCGGGTGAGACTTGCCAGCGTAGGCTATTCTCACCCGGTGTGAAACAAGACCTGTTTTTCCTCATTTTGGAATACTGTCTATCGGTGTGGATGATCAAATTGATAAAAGCCAAGAAAAAAATTACGTTATAGCACAAAAGTAAGCTAATTTGATTGTCTTCAAAGATGCTATGGCTATTTCACTTTTCGAATCGAGCCGAACTACGCGGGTCGCCATTTTGTTTTGCCCGGAAGTTCTCGCAAGATCTACTCCTCCCCCTCTCTCTGTCTCTTTCTGAATACTGTCTATAGCCATAGGTGAGGACGATCAGATTGACAAAAAACAAGGTTTAAAAATGATGTCAAAAAACAAAACTAAATTAATTTGGTTGACTACAAAGATGCTACAGCTATTTAACTTTCCGAATCGAGCCGAACTACGCGGGTCGCCATTTTGTTTTGCCCGGAAGTTCTCGCAAGATCTACTCCTCCCCCTCTCTCTGTCTCTTTCTGAATACTGTCTATAGCCATAGGTGAGGACGATCAGATTGACAAAAAACAAGGTTTAAAAATGATGTCAAAAAACAAAACTAAATTAATTTGGTTGACTACAAAGATGCTACAGCTATTTAACTTTCCGAATCGAGCCGAACTACGCGGGTCGCCATTTTGTTTTGCCCGGAAGTTCTCGCGCTACTCCTCTCTCTCTCTCTCTCCACAGACAAAATTGCACGCTTTTAGGCTAACACTTTATCTAACAGTAGTAATAGGTCTAGAACATTTGTTCACAGCACAAAATTCTCTAATTCTGTTCACAGAGTAGAATTCTGTGGTTCAGGGCGAACGCTTCACTGGTTGGCCTAGGCTATAATGGTGAACGCCCACCGGGTGAGAATAGCCAAAAGACTCGCCTGCGTTATTCTCACCCCAGGTGAGAATAGAGGTTGCCTAAAAAAAAAACACCAGCATAGGAAGGCACTTCGATAGCAGCGGGCGAGAACTGGGTCACGGCTGCCGGCAGCAGTCAGTGTTTTTGTTTGCCAGTCTCTGCGTTTCCGTTTGCGGGTCTTGTCGGTAATCCCTGTTTTGTAAACGTTCGGGACACATATCATGACTCATCATCCCGCTATTTTTGTAGAGCTTTAAATGCCGAATCGTTGGTACCGCGTTCATTCAGAAAAGTTAGTAGATCTAGGTTAGGATGCTGTTCTGCCAAGGGTGCTCTTATCTGGGTTGGGGATAGCCTACTAGATCTAGATCTACATCTATGATCTAGATGTCTAGTACTACTACTACTCAGACTCTGCTGTATCTTAGAGTCTAGATCTAGATCTAGATCTAGATATCTAGATCTAGATCTAGAATCTAGTAGTAGTAGAGCTCGATATCTAGATCTAGATCTAGAATCTAGAGTTAGATCTAGATCTAGATAATAAATCTAGAATCTAGATCTAGATTCTAGATCTAGATTTCTAGATCTAGATTCTAGATTCTAGTGATAGTGTGTGTATCTAAATGTAAACGACAGATCTAATCTAGATTCTAGATCTAGATATCTAGAATCTAGATCTAGATCTAATCTAGATCTAGATCTAGATCTAGATCTAGATCTAGTGGGCCAAAATTTATGAAAGTATGAGTTGGCCCTTCTATGGCTATGGAAAGAGAAAGTTAAAGTAAGAAACCAGAAATCTACCTCGAGTATTCGATCGTCGACACCCATCTCGTGAAACTGAACGGTGTGTTCATCTTCATCCTCAACAGAAGTTGAAGCCATATCTGGTTGGGATTTTTTTTCAATGCTGAATCGTTCCTCGATTTACAAAGTGAAAGTAGAGAATCTAGATCTAGAGTCTAAATCAGCTAGAGATCTTGTTTATTTTCACACTTCTACAGGAAACGTGGTCTTCGAGACTTCTTCCGATTAGATTTGCTGAGAAGAGTAGAATAGGCCAAGAGAGTGACCGAACTTTAACAACAACCGGAAGTCTCAAACTCTACGGATTCTTTGCAAAACCACCGCTCATTTTTCTATTCGCATTATTCTACTGTTTGTAGCCATTCATTAGAGAATGTTAAGAAAATGGGACAACGTATAGATGGCTGCAACAAATAAATTTCTCTTCCAGAGAACTGTGTTATCAAGCAGACCCTTTAATAAAACTTAAATAGATTATCGATCCAGTTTTAGCAAATGCATTCTTTCATCGTCTTATAAGTTATATGCGAATAATTACGAACACGAATGATTTTTTTTTTATAGTGCTAGACCGGCTATAAGTGTTGTAGTTTTGTTTACAAACACAAACAGATCAGATCATTGCATTACCTCTATCTTTTCATGACATAATAGGGCAGCCTTGTATGGACACGAAACTTCATTCAGAGAGAAAAAAATGGCTAGTCAAGAGAGTTTCAGACGAGGGGACGCATTTATATTTATAGTTCCTCATAAAATTCAGCGGAAAAGACTTGAGGACATGAAGATTTCAATGAAAAAGAAGAATATTCCTCTGGCTGAATCTCTTGGGTTTGTTCATGATTTTTTTTTTCAAGCGATATCCCTGGTGTTTTTCTGTTACAAGCTAGATCTAAGTCAAGTGGCAAGCGAACAGTTGACCCACTTGTACTTGTTTTATTTTGTAAAACGTTTGGTGCAGTTATATTATGTGCGATACTTTTTGAGCTGTGACGTTACCTCTGCATTAGGCCTAAGGATGGGCATTAGTCGATATTCAGTGATCATGTTGGGCGCAATCTGTCGATTTGCGCAATCCATCGACCGCGCAGCGCATTTGGTTGATCGAGGAGACGCGCGACAATCCATCGATTGATGCGCTTTCTGTTGATCAGCGGATCGCGCAGCGCTTTTTGTCGATCCATGAAATATATAGGCCTATTTGGACAATGTGACAATGACGTACTTCAGGTGGTATTCCAAATACGGTCAAGATTTAATGGCTTGTGATAAATTGTTGTGTTTTGATTAATCATTTATT